CTTCCAATGGCATTTTTTAAATGCTCACAGCAAATCTTGCCCCCACAGGGGACTGATCCCTTTTCCTTCTTAACTATTCACAGCTCCAGCAAGGAAAACACTGGTGCTGCTCAGCTGTCATGGGCCAGGCCAGGCACCTTTGGACACCTGTCTTGCAGGGCAGCAGCATTTCCTGCACGCTCCTGCCCCTGTGCAGGTTCTACACCAGCATTTCCCTGCCCACAGCATCCATGGCATGCCAGATACATGCACTATCTCTTTCCAGTGATGCTTTGTTGCTGTTCCACCTTTCTACCCATTCCCCTGTGTGGTTCCAGTGCCACCAGCACCAGCCAGGGCTGAAAGTAGATAAGCTCTCTCCTTATTTCAACTGTCTTCCTCCTCCCTAGAGGAAGCAGAGCCGCTGCCAAGACATGTGGGACATGTTAGAGGTGAATTTGTTCTTAGTGCTTGCTAATTCCTTGGAAAGGTAATTACTCCCTGGCATAGAAAAACCAGCAAGATCTTATCTTTTAACCCACTGTTTCTTCCCATTGGTGACAGCAGAACACGTGCCTTCACAGAAGTTATTAACAAACCCCCAGCCACTTCTAGACACCACTAAATAGCAATGGCTCATTTCCTAAAAGTTTAAATTAGACACTAAATACATCAGTGGCTGGTTTTGTGGCTTCCTCCCCAGCTCCCGGCTGTGCCAGGTCACAGTCTGATTTTCTGTTTTCTCCCCTTTATTTCTAGTTTTGCCAGAACGTCCTTGTTTTACAACAAAACTGTTAAGGACCATGAAGAACACCTTCAGAAGGCCCCACCACCCAACTTTACTCAGCAAGTTTCAAATCCTTTCAATGCTGCAACTCCCCAGGAGCACAAGTTCTTAAGTCTTACTCCTATTCATGTTTTTGTCACCAAAGACCTTTCAGAATTCCCACCTAAAAAAGGTTCCTCCTATTTCCAAGAGACATCATTTCACAAGCTGTAATACTTTGGTTTACAACTAGATTAAAATATAAATTAAATAAGAATAATGCTAAATGAGTTTATATTGAAACACATTATATTTGTTTCTATATATGTATATACAGGTGTGTGTGTGCACTCCCTAATGACAGCTAGAGGAAGCAAAATTCATTCTCCAAAAGCTTCTACTCTTCCAACTAGCATGGTCAACTTATCCATTGCAACAATTCCCTGTGCATAAAAGCTAATGAAGCACTGGAAGGTGGTGCTGGTGACCAGCTGGATCACACAGACATTCAGGAACAGAAAGATAATAAATTATAAGAAGCAGTAGTAACTTGTTCACAGTTGGGATGAGGATAATGTTATGGGAAACCTGAATTGTCTACAGTTCCAGGAATAAAAAGCCAAAGCTCACTGAAAGTTACATTGCAGTTAATCCTAAAAGCAAAGATCAGATCTGACACAAAGAAATGGCAGAAATCATGTGGAATTTCTCCCAGCAGCCTAAACTCTTGTACCATCAGATTCAGCAGGAAGCTTTCCAATACCTCCATCAAAACCAGAGTTCATCCTGGGGATGTTCTGATCACTGCCTCCACCTCAGCAATGGACATTTTCCCACGTAGGAAGATTCCTTGAAACCAACTCAATCCTACATCCAAAAGAAAATGCTCCCAGACCTTTCTTGATTCCATCAGCCCAAACATTACATTCAGTCTCTCCTAATTCCCAGCCTCTGTGTTTTTCTATGTTTGCCAAGCCAAAGCCTTTCAGCAGATGGAAATATTTTAGAGATGGTAGGACTCTTCAGATAATTTTATAACCCACTTGAATTTCAGGTTAGGAGTAACCTACATTTCTAGTAAGACTAACTGCAGCAAAACTTTGGTCTGCTGCATTTTACTGGTTATAAAACAAAACAAAAACTCCACAGCAAGTCTGCTCCAAATCTACTCTATTCCAAAATGTTCTGGTAGACTTTAGTTTCAAGAAGCAGCCAGTATTGTTTGCATAGTTCTATAACTTCTATTTGGTTACAAACATATATATATATATATATATATATATATATATATATATATACATTTGTGTTTTATTTTAAAATATCCTTTGAATGACAGTTGTTAAAATAAGGATTCTGAGCTCCTCTTTAGGCCCTTTAACTGCAGATATAAAAACCCTGTGCATGGCTCTCCCCTTGTGACCAGAGCAATACTCACCACAATTATTTTGCTATGGCAGTGGATCCCAGGCTTTCCAACTGCAGTCCTGGCCACAGCCTCAGCTCCCAAGAAAAACTCAGAGCCCAGACCCTGGCAAAAAGTCTCCTTGAATTCCAGCTTCTTAACTTATAGAACAGTAAGGGTTGGAAGGGACCTTTACAGATCATCTAGTCCAACCATCTTGCAATGAGCAGGGACTTCTCCCATCTCCAGAATATTTCCAGCAGAGCCTGAACAGCATTTGATGCCACTAATCTGCAGAAACATTTGGATGGTGACACGGCTAAATTGGCAGGCATGTCATAGATCAAAGAGGAGAGTTTGGTAAAGTTTAAATAATTTTAAGTGCTGTTTTTTGTTGGTTTTCAAGATGCACAATCCTATCTACCTCCGAGACCACCTTCCATCCAAATCAGTTTAATCAGCTGCACCTTTGCAGCTGTCTTCCTATTTGACAGATGAAGTCAGCAGCAAATAAAAGCTACAACTCTGCTCTTGCAAAGGCCTTGTTAGGGCTGAATCACCCAAAAGTGGCAGGACTTTACTCCCAAAGCAGACTGCTTGGAATCACTTCCTGAAATGGGCATCTCACAGTTAAGTGACATTCCTGTTGCAGAGGTGTGGGACGGAAACACAGCCAGGGAGCTGCCACAAAATGAGAGCAGGACAAGCAGGGAGAGCTGTCCTGTCCGTGTATTTCAACCTCGAGCTCAGAGAGGACTGAAATCCTGGCTCTGTGCCCTGTGTGCTGAGCCAGCCCCACGATGCTTTTCAGCTTGTTCCCAGTGCTATTCCAGCTCTGTATAGCTGTCAGATGGGAATGGGGTCAGTCGCTGCCAACCTCTCTGGGTTTAAAACAGCAGCAGAGACACAACATGCTTTCAGTTCTTCCCAGCACCCAAACTAAAGTTAAATTATACAGGTCACAGCTTGAGAATACTGTAGAGAAGATACAGGAAAGTCCAAGGACTGAACCTGGTGGTGGATAATGCTGAGAGGACAAGGATGGACTGCCCATTTGCATTAGCTGCTCTGCCTCTCACCGAGCTATCCCTGCATCTTACTAAGTTAGCTCTAAGCATGTCCTCAGCCTCCTGCAACAAATTCACATTCCACAAAGCCTCTCATTCATCCCTCTCTAGCTGCTGGAAATACAAAGCACAATTTGTTCTCACATCCTCTCATTGCATTTTGGCATTCTCTTTTTCCCAGCTTCACATCAGTCATCCTCCTGAGATGAAGAGGTTTAGCTTTTCTCCAAAGCAGCAACACAGTATTAACATAATTCTTGCTATTTTCACAGCTATTCACAGGTAACCTGGCAGCAGCAGGGAACAGCCACGGCAACCATCATGTCACTTGGCTGACACTTGGCACCAGGGCTTGCTGCAGGCTTAAGGAGATAACCACAACTCTTCACATTTGGGAGGTGAGTTCTTTGACAGCAAAGAACTAAGAAATATGTCCACCTCCAAGAAAGCAAACTGTAAAACCAGAGTGTGTTCTCCCTGTTGCCTGAGGCAAGAAAACAAATGGGTTAGTAAGCCCTAACTCTAAAGCAGACAAAAATGTTACGTACAGAGGTATTAAAACATGAGAGTTCTCTTCACATCCTCCTTAAATCACAGTTGAAATCACAGTTTTGGCAGAACAAGATGCAGCTAGATGTGGGAATGCAAAGCTGTGCCTCAACCCATCACAGAAGCATTCACACTTGGAAAGTTAGCATCTGATTCTCCACAGCTTCGGTGCAACCGTAAAGAGCCACACCAACGCAGAGGCAACAGGACACAGTATCATTCTGTTAGGGAAAGCACCTCTAAAGTAGCTACACCACTGCCAGAAAATTCACATGAGGTTTTCTCCATACCGTACAGGACCTCCAACCCCTTTTTTCTCGAACCTTGGTCTCACATCTGCACTCAGGAAGCCGACCCTTGAAAGAAAAGTTCAGTAACGATTCCTTCAGAACTGGTTCCACTGTCTAGTGCGGACGGGCCTGAACTGGTTTCAGCACTGTTCAAGAAATATTAGACACCATGATTCCCACACATACATACACATCCATTAAATGTACAGAAATAATATCAAAATGATTCCCACTACCATACCTTATATTGACTCTAGCTACAAGCTATAAACTTCACCTTAACGAGGCCTGGGCAAGAATATTGGCTCTTCTGCATGCAATCTGAAATGATAATTTATACAGTGGCAACCTCTGCACAAAAAAAAAAAAAAAAAAAAAAAAAAAAAAAAAAAAAAAAAAAAAAAAAAAAAAAAAAAAAAAAAAAAAAAAAAAAAAAAAAAACAAACCAAAACAAAAAAAAAACCCAAAAAAACCAAAAAGAAAAGCAAACATAAAGGAGGAAAAAATAAAAACCTTTCACAAGCTTTGTTTTCAGCCTAGTAAGGTATGAAGGACTAATTTCATGGTTTTCACCAGGCCACTTGAAGTAGTGAATCAGCAAACAGGACACACTGTTGGCATCCTGTACTGTTTGGATGCTTCTCCGTTCACAGTATTGATACAGTAAAATAAAAACCTGCTCAAGAAACTCACAGCTATGCCATGGGAACAAAGGCATTCACCATTTTATGTCAGCCCTTCTTCACTACAGTTGCCATCTGTCTCAGAAAAATGTTGCTTGTGTAGCAGTTACTGCACCTTCACCCTTCTCTTCACAGCAAGCTTAGCAGGGAAACTTTCCCACTATATTTTTATATAATATATGTATATAAATAATTTTATGTTTTTATAGTTTGGTAGTATTCTTTTAAAATTTCTATTTTAAAACACTTAAAAATCTTTTAAGCAACTAAAAGTAACTTTTTATGCTCTCTAGTGTGAACAGATAGGATTTCAAAGTTTTTAACTTTTTTTTTTTTCATTTTTGGTAACTTCAAAAGCTATGACTAAAGCAGCACATCTCCACTCCTCCCTGCACCTTGACTGCAACAAAACCTACCTTGGCCACCCTCTCACTCATCCTCTGCCACTACTCTCTGGCAACCTCACTGTTTTGGTACTGTGATGTTTGACCTTTGCCAGGAAACCTGACAGAGCTGGTTGGGTGGCCAAATCACTCCCTGTGTGATGGATGCCCTTGACAGGAGAGGAGGAAGAAGGCACAGAAGGAAAACAGAAGTGAAATAATCAGTTTTCCTGTTTGAAATGGTCAATGAAATGGTACTTTGCAGGTACCCAGCTCAGAGCACCTACAAAGGTTCCTCTTGTAGGATCCCATCCCTGTTACACATGATACTGGCACCGAGCCCTTTCCCACACACAAAACCACATTAGAGCCACATCTCTTTTTGAGAGGGAGATGGGAGGAACAGTGAGACCCCTCACACATGAAAAAATCTATAAATCAAGGCAAGAATACATCACTCTTCTCCAAATTATTCCCTTCAAAGGGGCAGAAAAATGATCCCAAGTATCAATTTGCAGATGGGGAAAGCAAGGGCTGGAGATGTTTCCATGTGCCCAAAACTGCAGTCAGACAGCAGGCCAGGCACTATTGTCACTTGGTCAGTCTTCTGCCTAAGCCCCCACTCTAACCTCTCATCCAGCTTTCTTGCTGAAGCAAGAGGAAGTGTATTTCTTTTTCAATGTCTCCTTGTTCCTCCCATCACCTTAAGGTTCAGAACTTCACCCTTCCTCATCATATACACATTATACATCCTCAAGAGAACTCCTTCACCAAACCTGATACACGCAACCTGTTGTTCATTCCCCCCCTTCATCATGAACAACTTGGCATCAGAACTAGAGAAAACTCTTAAAATATTGCATATTTTTTTAAAAAAGATGTCAGGATATTTGCACTTATCTGCCTGTCCCATGCTTTTCTGGTTATGAACCATGTAAGCTCGTGCAAACACCTACAATACACACGCAGGCATGTCTCTCCAGGTTTGCTAAACTTGCTCTAAACATCAGAGCTACTCAGAATACAAAAATGTTAAGTCCATGCAAGGGGACAGAGTTGTGATTGCTCTAGGAACTGTTCACTTTTAAGTCTCCTGAACTGTTATAAGGAAATAGAGTAGGGTTCTCTTTTCTTTTTGTGTTTCATTGATAAAAAAAGTTATCAAACTAGTTTGTAGAAACAGGTTTAAAAGCAACCACCTGCGATTGCTCAGCTGTGACAACAGCATTGCAGTATTCCCATATCCCGTATTGCTGTTCTAAAAGATCAAGTGTGTGTCGAGGGGGGACCAGGGGTGAAAGAGGACTTTGGTAGCCAGCCTCTAACTCCACCATTCAGCAACTCCAGAAAATCTCTTCCTAATCCTTGGCACCACCTGAAGCATGGCAGCGCTCCAGCCAGGACCTCAGAGTGCTCTGAGCTCTCCAGATCAGCACCAGCAGAGGACAACCTCCTCTAAAGGCCCCTCCAGCCCTTCTCTCAGTGCATCAGAGTCTCATGCAAACCTCACAGCTGCTAAATTCCACTCTCAGTAGCTGAAGTACTTCCTTTACATTTTGCTGATCTCTAGAATACCACTTTGTAGCTGTGCCCACTTTAACAAGGGGCACCAGGGCTGCATGCCTGGAACAGGCAAGCCCAAAGCCCTAAAATAACAGTTTAAATAAAAACGTAAAGAGACACACCAAAATAGGACAGGGATAAATACGCTCGGGCAAGGCAGGTTCCACCAGGACAGTATTTTTGTTTTCTTTGCTGCGGCAACTACCTGGGGAAGGGAGAAAGGCAATGGCCCCTTGCCCCTGCTCTCCCCTCGAGTGGGAGCAGTGGATATGGCTCTGTGGCTGAACCCGGCACCGCCGGCGGGACGCCCTGCTGGGCCACAGCGCTGTCCAGAAATACAAATGACTGCTTGTCCCAGATCTCTACAGAACAGTAAAAAAATTTAAAATCCTGTCGATCCCTGAATAAGAAGTTGATTGACACAGTTGTTCTGTTTTTCTCCAAGAGGAGGAGGAATAAGGGAGAAAAACATTTAACACTCTATGGGTGTGTGTGTGGGTGTGTGAGAGGAAGAGAGAGAAAGAGAGAGATTTTTCTATTTTGGCAAAATCTTGGGAGCTTCTTTCTGTTCAGTGGTGGCATTGCACTAATTACAGTACCAGCCTGCCGGGTTGGTGCTGACTCTTCAGAGCCAGGAATGGGAAGACTGTCCTTTCTCCTGGGACTCCGGAGCCGCTTCAATCCGGCCCGGTTGTGGACACAGATCCCTGTGCCGTCTCCCCCACCGCCACGGCCTCTTCCTGCGGGGGAGATTCCTCCTCTGCCTGCCCCCGGGACGTGACGGTGGTCTCAGGGGAGATGCTGTGCGGCCCCTCCAGGGGCAGGCAGCCGGGGTGGTTCTTGCGAAAGTGCTGGTTGAGGATGGCCTGGAAAGGGAAGCTTTTGCCGCACACGTGGCAGTGGAAGGGCTTGTTGCCCGTGTGCTTGCGGATGTGATATTCCAGCTGATCCTTGCGGGTGTACTTCTTCCCACACATGCGGCACACGAAAGGTGTGATGCCCATGTGGAGCCGCATGTGGCGGTCCAGGCTGCCCTTCTGGTTGAAGGATTTGGCGCAGTAAATACACGTGAGCCGTGGGTTGTACCGGAACCAGCGCTCTGAAACCTCCTGCTCCCGCAGATACTCCACGTAACCGCTCACTCCGAGCATGGCTGATTCCTCCCCCTGCCAAGGAAATGGCACAGACTTAAATAACAAGCAGCCTAAAACAAGTTGCAGAGAAGATCAGGCCCACTTCCAGCCAGTAAAGCATGTGCCAAACCTCAAAATCAGCAGCACTAATGTCTGCAACCTCAAGCACACATTTAAGTGCTTAACTGGGGCCCTAGGGCTGAAAACAAATGAGCAATCAATTAGAAACCACTGCTGCAAAGGCCCCTTTTGCCAAGCCATTCCCTGGATCTGGTGAAGAAAAGACAGCCTTAACACAAGGGCACTTGGCCACCAATTCAGTAGTGGACCACATGTCAATACTTGTTACTTCCTAAAAAATTTGTGCCAATTTAATTAAAAGACTTGGATGTATTACCTTCTGTTTTCCTTACTAAAAGTCAAAAAAAAAGCCGCCAATTAATGAGCTTGCAGTAAAACAAAAAGGAGCAAACCACAGAATCATATCTGAAAGTTCTTCAGGTGTCATTTCATACAGGTACTTATTCAGATGTCACTCAGAGTTCTTACAATGAGTCACATTTGCCTGCCTGGCTGTGTAATCCATCCCAGCCCCAGGGCCTCACAGGCAAGGATGTGCCTGACCCAGCTTGCACAGCAAGGACTCCTCTGCATTTTCTGAAGTCACACAAACAGCTGAGAGCAACCTGGACCACAAGCCTGCTCTCAGGATAGACACTTCTGGCCATCCTACTCAGACTGAGCAGAAATACAGGGACTCCAGAAAGCTTCTGTGCTGGAGATGCACTGTTTAGTCCCCCAGTGTTGCTTCCCAGTGGTGCCACATGTGGAGACAGTACCAGCAGGAGGGCATCTCCTCTGCAAGCCAGGGCTCTACAGGCATGAGCAGCAGTGTACTGTGCCAGGTGCTGCTGAATCCAGCTGTAGAGCCATAGGGAAGCTGTTGAGGAATAAAGAAGATACACAAAGCTCTGGCTTCCTTTCCATTCTACCAGTGCCACTGGACAAGGATCACGGGCAGGCTATTTTAGTATGGATATCACAATGCCAGGAGAGTGGAAGGTGATGATACTTCCCCATGGTGTGTAAAGCCTAAGGTTTCATGTTTGAAGATGTCTCACAACAGAGGAATAAGAGTACCTTTTCTTCAGGCAGAGCTAAAATTGCTTAGTGTGTCACATTTCCCCTAGAGGGTTGGTTTGACCTGAAATTTTTGCAATGTCTTCTGAGGACACAAAACAAAGCTTTGCAAAACAGGAACAAAAAGGTATCTGTCATTTTATGGAAATGTCTAACAAAGTCAGCAGACAGCAATCACAGTCTTCTCCCCTTTGCTTCACTTGGTATTACTCAAGAGCAAAGCAGCCTAATATCTCTTTCCCCACCTCCAGCCAAGTCTTTTGTTTACACACTGACACATTCTCTACCTGTCAGGCTCACAAGAGTCTTTCTGCACTGTGTTGGCTGACATGCCTGCACTACAGTGGCACTGTGACACTAACTGGATGCAACTAAATTAGACCAAAATAATAAGGCACAGGCATTACTGTCATGTCCCACTTTGCTGCACTCTACAACCCACTGCCCTCCCATTTCTGTGCATCTCTCCCTCTTACCCCAAAACTGTGCCTGAGAAAGCAGAGAATTCAGAGCTCCTTTACGTTGCAAAGTCTGCTGTGCAACACAAGTCCCTTGGAGAAGAGACAGAGGCCTCTCTAAAACTCCACAGCTCTTTGACACTCCACCCCAAAAGGGTTATTGGTGTAGTGCCTGGAGGGCTTTTGGGAACGGTCTTGGTACCGGCATAGAAAGATTCAGCTGTTGTCACCCATCTTCCACAGAAGCCAAGCCACACCTCCTCCCTCTGCTCGGGCATTTGCTGCCAGTGTTTGAGGGCAGATCCAGCTCTGCAGGCAAATGGGGTTTCTCCTCAGGAGTTGGTGGCCTGCCCAGAATAAGGATGGATATTTATGCCCTCAAACAACAAGAGAAACTCCTTGTGTTTTCCAGGTATCTGGCCAAAATCCCAAGCAACAGCCAGAATCCATTTTAAATCATACTTGCCCAGCACATGTTCTCCTGTGAGCAAGTAGATCCTTTGCAAAGTAAATGGTCCTTGTATCACATACATTATTGCTCGCAAATAGAAAATATATTTTATACAATACACTTCATCACAACAAAGTCCCCTTCACCTTCAAACCAACATTTACTTGCAAACATCTTGGTCTGCCTACCTGGGAACTGGGCTGCTTAGGCTCATCCATCCTCCCAGGAGACTCGCTTTTCGATCTGTACCGCTCAGTCACAGCAACCATGCTGCCAGAAGGGCTAAATCTGTGGGGTGGGGAAGGAGTGGAAATGGCATTTTTAATGGGCATCAGGTCACTACAGTGTTTAGAGCAATGAGTGAGCAATAGAGGCATCTGTATAGCATCTCTTCATCCTCATCAGCTAACACGCTGGAAGTGGAACAGTGCAAGTATAAAGGAAATACCAGATTATATCAGTCTGTGGTTTCAGTCTAAACATCTGTAAAATAAAACTGAGTCATTTGGCTTCCAGTTCAGCAATAGAGAGGGGCTGCTATCATGAATAAACCAATATGGGCCTGGTGACTCAGGACAGAAACCATTTCTCAGAGGACATCTCTCCTCCAGCACCCACCTCCTCCATTCCCAATGTGAAACATAAGGGATGTGATGGACTAAAGGTGGGACACAGTGCATACAGACTGCAATGCCAAAAGAGATGCTAGAGACTAGCTGATCCAAGGAAAAGGGCTAAGGAAGTAGGAAAACATCGCTCTCCAAAGGCCAGCTCAAGACTGATTGATTTATTAAGTGACAAGTGACAGAATATCCCCTGCTTCCAGGTATCTGCTTCCCCGTGGGACTGAACTAGAAGAGAGGCAGATGTGAAGGGCAACCCTAGAACTACAACCCCCCCTTCCAAATAAAACAGACCTGCCCTTTATCAAATCCATTCTCTGGCCTGAGCCTAGGGCAAGAAAGCAAATACTGAAGCGGAGGAGAAGATGGATGGAGAATGCAAACACAGCAGATTTCACCACTCATTTTCAAAAAAGACTTTCTGCTCTCTCATATAAATCAAAACAACAGTGGAGGCCAGTGGGTTCCCCATTTCAACTGCCTCAGAAGATGTAAACCCAGGGCCCACTGCTGTCATGCATCACTGGGAAGACCTTGACCTACAGCTGGTGCCTGGCTTGTTTCTCAGCCAGTACCATCCCCAGATCTCTGGGCCAGAAGGCACCAGTGCAATGGAAATATGTAACACATATTGTATATGACCTCATTAATTCAAATGCTGAGTCTGGTATCTACTGAGGCTGAACAGAACATCTTCTTTAAAAAAAAAAATCCCACCTCAGCTGAAACACTGAGAGGTAGAGATTGCAACATCTAAGAGCTAATTAAGTAATTTGCCAAGTTAGCCTGTACCTGGAGATCCTGGTCTGATCACCACCCAACCAAAATACTATTACCCAAACTGGATACACTTCTTAACACCAGATAAAAACCCTTTCACTCTTATGCTTAAGATGGCCAAAGGAAATAGAAAGAGGAAATGTTTCAAAGCAACTGACCCAGCCAGGTAAGAACCTTGCACAACCTCTTCTTACAGCCAAGGTGAATAAGTTTAAGAAAACCCACCTGTCGATCTCGCTGCTGGTTGGCCTGACCACTTTGGCTCCAGAGGAGGCTAAGGCAAAAGCCTCCTGGCCCAGCGATCCGTGGCCCGTGGTGTCGATCACCATGGCCGTGACCTCCTCGGCGCTGCTCCCATCTTCTCCTGAGGGCTGGTGCTCTGCCCCCAGCCACTCCTCCAGGTTTTCCGTCTTAATGCGCACTCCTCCCAGCACCCGCACTTCCTCGTCGTTCTGCGCCCCGCGCTCTCCCATGCCCGTCTCAACGTACCACTGTCCTGCCCTGTTAATCCGCAGGATGGGCTCCCTGCCTTCCACATCGGAACTCTGCTCGATTATTTGGGGGCTGGTGGACTCCTCGGGCGGGCTGAGCTCCCGGATGTCCAGCACCGTGCTAACCTGGCCCAGGCGGCTCCCCTTGGGGGTGTTGTGACGTGGGCTCAGGGAACGGTTGAGATTTGGCGTCGCCCGGTGAGACTCGGGAGGTCTCTCCGGATGCTTCGTCCTCGTCTGGCTCAATTCCGCTTCCACCTCCGCCACATTAATTTTGAAATGAATCCCCTCGAGTATCTGCGTGCATTTGTCTATGATGTGCTGCATCTGCAAGAAACTGGCAGCTGTCAGGTAACTGATGATGTCAGCCAGCTGCAGACATATCCTGCCAGTGTAGCAGAAGGAGAGGAGCTGCTCGAAAACAGAAGGGTTCTTGATGACGGAGATGGACACGGTGCTCATCTCGTTCAGGGACATGTGGTCACGGAAGTAGGGCGAGCTGGCAGCCAGCACCACCTTGTGCGCACGGAAAGCCTGGCCCTGCACGTTGACCACGATGTCACACAGCCGACCCTGCATGCGCAGCTGGTTCAGGTGGCTCAGGACAGAGTTACTGAAGTTGGGAATCTCCAGCTGAATGTTCCCACTCTTCTCCATGGCTGTCCCAGCTGCAGGTGCACTCTACTGGAAAAGGGGAAAAAGATCCCGTCATTGGCAGAGCCAATCATTTGAAATCAGAACTTCTTTCACCTGCATTTTGAAACACTGGAGTTTTTAGAGACCTTCCTCACCCACTGAACTGCCACACACCTGGCAGCAGCTTTGTTATGAATGAGAGTGTTTGAGATTGCCTAAAAAAGCATCCCAAAATCTCTCTGATCTCTCCATTCTATGCATCCCCCTGCACAAGAATTCTGCTAAACCAATCCCTGACAGACCCGCAATCCCTGTGGCTTTAGCCTGAAACACTTTGCTCTGCCAGCCTCAATAAAAGCACATCTGCATGTAAAAAGAACATTAAAAATGGCACAGGTATTAAAAATAGGCACCTGATTGCATAATGGATTAAAATTCTCACCACTTGTACCTTCTAAGCATCTTGAAAAGAGAAAGTAATAGGGAAAGATCCTTTGTAAAACAGGGACTGGGAAGGAGACACTGGGACCTAAATCCTCCTGAGACTTGAAAAGTGGGCCAGCACACATCTGACCTCAAGGCATCCTAAGTGCCTTGTTAACCTGAGATACCCATCATATGTGGCACTTCTGACACATGCCAGAAAATATATGACATTAGAGTGAAAAAAAAAAAGCTGTGGCCCAGGAGAGCTCAGAGGGCCTCACTCAGGATCACTTTTTGTAGGGTCCCAAGAGACTTCACATTGGTTATCACTAATTCCCCATCCTGGCCATGCCCTAGGTCAGTAAACTCCTGGACTCTTTCCCAAGTAGAGGGATAATGGGATTTTCCCCACCTCAGCTGGGATGTTCCTAGCTGTTCCCACCTCTATCACACAAGAGCTCCTGGCAGGCTCAGGGAGCATCTCACTTCCCAGCTGGTGCAGTCGGGGGACCCTTCACCACTCAGAGCAAGGCTTATCAGGAGATCTCAGAGCAGGGCCAGGGAGGGGGACTGGGGGATGCACCACCACATCATCAACATCATCACACTTCATTTTGGCAAAGTTTGAAAAGAAGCCATGACCATATATGGTAAAAATTTGGAATGAATGAAAATGAGATGTAAACTCATTAAAAAAAAAAAAAAGTAATTAAGCTTGTTAAAGTCCACTCATAGCGTAAGCAGCTTTCAAGCCAAATAGCATCTGAAGTGTGGATTGAGCAGAGCCCTGCAGATGTCAAAACCATTATTTCAAGCAGGCTGGGAATACCAAGGCTCACAGTTACCCACTCTGAGGAATCTCTGAATCAAAGGAATTGGCACATGAAGAGCATGTCTGCCTTTGGAGGACTTTTTATTTGGAATTTATGAATGTTGCAGCATAACACGTGTCCATATGCCCAAGCAGGCTTTGTACAAACTTGTCAAACCCAGTTACTAAACATGAAGCTGCAGGACAGCCTGTCCATCTTGTGGAGGTGTGCTAAGGGGTTTCTGAGTGGCAGGATGGCTGCGTGTCCCTGGGGAAGTCAGGTGGGAGTGCACAAAGCTTCACAAGGTACAGCTGAACAGTGCCAGGTCTTTGGGCTTCTTCCCTCCTTCCCCTATCAGAATCACAGAATGGTTTGGGTTGGAAGGGACCTTAAAGCCCATCCTGTTCCACCCCCTGCCATAGGCAGGGACATCTCCCACTATCCCAGCTTTCTCCAAATCTGGCCTTGGACACTTCCAGGGATCCAGGGGCAGCCACAGCTTCTCTGAGCAACCCGTGGCAGAACCTCACCACCCTCACAGGTAACAATTTCTTCCCAATACCCAATCTAAACCTACTCTCTGTCAGTGGGAAGCCATTCCCCTCACCCTGTCACTCCATCCCTTGTCCAGAGTCTCTCTCTGTCTTTCCTGTCAGCTCCTTCAGGTACTGGAGGCCACAATTAGGTCACCCTGAAGCTTCTCTTCTCCAGGCTGAACGACCCTAATTCTCTCAGCCTTCCCTCACAGCAGAGCTTCTCCATCTCTCTGATCATCTTGGTGTCTCCTCCGGACTCGCTCCAACAGCTCCATGTCCTTCCCTATCTTTTGGAGAAAGCAACAAATCCCACAAAAATCAGGAAACCACAGTGCACAGGTCTGTGTCAACACAGCATTGGGAGCAGAACATCAGCTGCACAGAACAAGGGGAAATAGAAAACCCAACATCTTACCTGGAGTGCTGTGAGTTACATGCAGTGGGAAGGAAATGGGGGTGCTGCCTTCTTTTTTTTCTTCTGATGTCTTAAGAAGAAAACTTGCTGCCCCCTTCCCCTTTAGGAGGTAAAAAGAAAGAAAAAATGAAGTGCAGAGGAATTGGGCTCTCCCAAGCGCAGTTGTGAACATCAAGCTTTGTCATTCTTGGTTCTGCTGGAGGATCTAGCAGCAGGATTAGCTCACCATCTTCCCAAAACAGCTGTTCCTAAAGCAACAAGCCTCAGAGAACACTCTCAAGGAAGGCAAGGGTGAAACACCCCTGCCAAGGCCACGAGCACCCAGGGAGGCAAAAGGGAGGCAGAGGCTGGGCTTGGGATATACAGAAAGAGAAGGGGAAAAAACATCATCAGACCTTAACTGCTGAGCATGGCTGGGTATGGCTGTGGTCAGAAGGCAGCTGCTCCCCAGAGAGCCCAACAAACATCTGTGAGCTCCTGCTCTGAAGGCAGGGAAAATCCATCTACTCTTTATAACCCACAGAGCTCTGCTCACCCCAGTGTCGAGGAACCTGTGTGTTATCACTCCCTCAGAGGCTGGGGAGAGGGAATCTGCCTTTTGGCTCAGACTGCCCCATCAGAGGCCAGTTTCTGCCCCTCTGGGTAAGGGAACTTCTCATCAGCTTCTGCACCTCAGCCACAGGGCAATGACATCCTGACTGGTCTCTGCCATCACCTCCAGCCACCTTTACAGGCAGGCTGAACTGAGTCAGCACAGGCACACACAGACACTGCTGTTTGTAATGCCATTTCAAGTGCCACCAGCTGAGACTCAGACTTCACTTATCTCAGCAAATGCCTTCCAGCCCGTGAGGCAGCTACCAGGAGCGGGTGGAATTCTTGATCCTTCAGGTAAGAAACAGAGACAGACCACCCAGCAGATAATGTCACCCTGAAGCTGCACTGAAAACTCTCAGCTTTTGGGTTGAGATTTACCGTGACTGGGCAAGTTCACAGAATCACAGAATATCCTGAGCTGGAAGAGACCCACAAGGACTACTGAGTCCAACTCCTGGCTCTCCAGAGACAGCCCAACCCCACCCTGTGCCTGACAGCATTGTCCAAACCCTGCTGGAGCTCTGGCAGCCTTGGGGTTGTGCCCATTCCCCGGGAAGTGCCCAGCACCCTCCGGGGAAGAACCTTTCCCTGACATCCAGACTAAAACTCCCCTGACAAAACGCCAGCCATTCCATGGGTCCTGTCCTGGTCCCAGGGAGACATACTCAGAATCCTAGAATGGTTTAGGTCAGAAGGGACCTTAAAGATCATCCCGTTTCACCGCCTGCCGTGGCCAAGAACACCTTCCACTGTCCCAGATCGCTCCAAGCCCTGTCCAGCCTGGCCTTGGACACTGCCAGAGATGCAGGGGCAGGCACAGCTTCTCTGAGCCACGGCGTCACCACCCTCACAGGTAACGATTTCTTCCCAACACGCCTATTTGCCTGCTGGCACATTCCAACGGGACTCCAACAACTCCGAACGCGAGCGTAACTCTGAGCCGAGGCAGCGGGGCGGCTTCTGGCCCGCGCCCAGCCCGCCGCAGCCCCTGCCCCAGCGCCCTCCGAGCCCTCCGAGCCCTCCAAGCCGGCTGTCTCCGCTGTCTCCGCGCCCCGCGCCCCCGGAGCCCTCAGGCGGGGCCCGCGGCTGCTCCTCACCGTGACAGCCGCGCCGCGCCCCGACCGGGCTGCGGGGGCGGGCGGGACCACCCCCCTGTCCCCGCCGCCGGCAGTCCCGGCCCCGCCGCTCCCCGGCCTCGCCCGCCCCGCCCGGCCCGGCCCGGCCCGGCCCGGCCTCACCTGCCGGGGGTGGGAAGGGCCCGCCGCGCCGGCCCGGAACCGAAACGCGCCAGCGCGGGCCGCGCCCCGGAAGGAAACGCCGTGCGGACCGCGCGCCCCCGCCCCGCCCTGCCCGCGGACTCCGCCTCAGTGGGCGTGGCCACGGGCACCCACGTGACCTACGCTATATAAAGCGCGGGCACGGGTCGCTCTCCCTTTTCCGCTCCCGCCGCCATGAGGGGTGGCTGTCCCTCGCGCGGCCCCGCCGGTGAGTGGGGGCGATTCCGCGCTCGGAGCGCGGTGCTGCCGCTCCGGGGCGCGGCCTGAGGCCCCGCGGGCGCGGGCCGGTCGCCGATGGGACGTGGTGAGGGAGGATTGGCGTGGATTGCGCGGCCAGGCCTGGCCCGCGGCCTAGGCCTCCGGGAACTCCGCCTCATGGCGGCCCTGGGGATGCACGGGGCGGGTCCTGCGGAGCCCAGCGCGGCTCCGGGAAATCGCTCAGGCGTTGAGTTACGGGCTCTGTCTTGCCGGTGTGCTGCGCGTCGGATGGGGCCGTGCAGTATGTGGGGTCATGTGCCCGCTGCGAATACAAGCGGTGGGTGTCCGGGTTTTGTGCGTTTGGGTTTTTTCTAACTGCACTGCGCTTTAAGGAACTTGTCTTTGCAGATAAATGGGAAGCGTTGTGCAGAAAGCAGCAGTAGCGTTATGGAAGGATTGGGGGTCCCTGCAGAGCTGGGGGGTGCGGGCAGTGTGGGAGGGCTGGGGACGCGTTCGCACCGTGCTCGCAGGACGGGCGGCCACTCTCGGCCCTTGGCCTCTGCAGCTCCAAGAGCTGGGCTCCGTGTCCGTGTGAGTCCTGACTCAGCAGTGTTGAGAGAACCAGCTCACTTCACTTCCATATGCTCAGCACGTGATGAGAACTTTGTTGGTAGGGACATCTGAGAGGGTGATGAATGCCAACATATCTGAGCTGGGCGTGGAATACTTCTGATGGCCTTATCCATTTGGGAAGGCTGAGACACGACTGGGCCCTTAAGGCAGCCAGAGTTCCTGCCTGCCTGGCTGCCCTGGTGGTAGTACACCAGAATTGATATTATAGAAAACAGTAATTAGTAATTACATCTTCCTTAAAGATAAATAAAAGCAATTATTTTTTGTGGCCTCAATCCTTTAAAGAGCCAAAATTGAAATAGCATCAGGGAAAATCGTAAGACTCCCAAGTATTTTGAGCGTTGCTTGGATTTTTAAAAATAATATTTGTACGTATTGCATCATTTTTGGAAGAAGAAACGCTTAACCTCATTTCTTTTTTTCAGATGAAGGTATATCAGCTACACTCCTTCCTCTGGCTTCAGCGCAGGTAAATACTGCTTTTGAAATAAAGAGTTGAAATTAACACATTTTGGGTTTGTGTACACCAGTTAGACTGGAGTACTGCTGTATCAGGGAGTTAGTGTCAGCAGTTGTAATTCAGGCATTGCCTGCAGTGTCTTGGACAGGCCTCACTTTTCTGCTGGGAAAACTGGGGATTGATGCTGAGTAAATCTCAAAGCCTATGATGGTTTCAGTATAAGAGTAGTGGACAGAAGTGATTTCTGAAAACTCCATGCTGAGGCTTTCTAGTGTGATTGCCGGAGAAGCTCCCTTGTTCTGCAGACATCTCCAACTCTTCTATCTCTTTCAGATCTGCCTCCCAGATGTGGAGACGTAAAGCTACTTCTTCCGAAGGTAAAAAAAAACTTGAAAATATAAAGTTGTGCCTAGTGTTGTCTAGAGAGCATCTTCTGCTCTGATGAGATCAGAAGACAGCTTAATTCCTAGAGTAAATCTGTCCCTCTGGTGCCACAGTGATGACACTTATTTGCTACTCTTGACCAAGAGAGTGATGAGCACTTTTACCACCATTACAGTTTTCTGAGGCACAGCAACTTAAAATTTCCCTCGATGCTTTGACTGCTGAATATACTGTTCACAAATATTTTACTTCTAGGATTTGAATCCTGCACTTCAGAGAGATGCAGAAGAAGCATCATCACCTGGTAAGAAATATGTATTTCATGTAAGGTTTCTTCCACAGAGCTGTTAAAACTCTGCAGTAAGAAGTATGGCATGTGTTTTAGAATTCATTTTCACTAAGACCAGAAACAATTTATACTTGCTAGTATTCAAACTTCTAAATACTTGTTGTAATTGGGAAAATTTCCTTGTCATAGCAGTCACAAGAGGCGATTGCTTGGGACTATGGTTCCAAAGCAGATACAGTGATGACAGCATAGTTCAGCAGAATATCCTGTGATGAACACATGCTTCGCCCCTATCTGATGTATCTGCCTCTTGTGATCTCCCCAGGGGCTGTGGGCTTGGGCACCAAGGCTGGAAGGATCTGATTGTTTTCTGTTGTTGCAGGCACAATGTTGCAGGGAGATTGAACTAAACTGTTGCAAGGTAAGTATTGCATTGCTGACATGGGTGAAAACTCATTGGATCCCTGCTGTGTGGAAAGGCTGCTGTGTGATGACTGCATAGTTCAGCAGACAACCTGTGGTGATCAGTTACTGTCTTTCACCTCCTTCTCTGATGCAGCCTACTGTAGCTTAGGCTATTTCAAACCATGTGGGAACCTGAAGGTGAATGTTTTTCCTTTTTGCTCCATGAATGTATTTTAGAAATTTATCTCAGAAGACCAGTAAGTGGGTTAAATATAAAAAAATTTAGATTAATAGAAAGAGTAGGATGTGATTGTGAAGTCAAGCAGAAAATATAGTAGAATAAAGTTAATCAGGTGCCAGTGCTCCAGGTTCTAAAAGTTTTTTGTTGCTTTGCAGGCTGCCCTCAACTGAGGAGCCTCATGCCTCTTGTGTGAGGAACCATTTCACATGTTACTGATGTTGATGAAGACAAGGCCTTCCTAATTAAAGGTAATTAATAAACCTTTACTTTTTTAGATCTGTTACTTTTGTCTGTGCTGCATTTGGGAGTTTGCTGTTAGAAATGCTTGCAAATTCATTTTGTTCTTAAAAAGTGTGAGGCAAGTATTAGTACCATTAAGTGTGCCTTTAGCTTCCTGTACTGCACAGTAAAAGAATCAAATAATTGTGGTGTTAATGACATACAGAGTTCTCCTGTTGAAACTAAATGGTGAATGCCAGATTACTGTGAATTTAGAGTCCAAAATGGTTATCTTTAATATGGACAACTTGGTTACACAAACCTCACATCACTGAACTCTGCAATTGCAAAGTTTGCTCCTTTGTGCAATTTCAGCATGCTCTGGAGTTGAGGAATGAGCATTTCAGTGTTGAAGAGTGCTGGGAAGTGGCTTCACAAACTGCCTTCAGAAGGGGGGGATAGGAGTGTTGCAGCCTACTGTAAATGATGTTAATTTTGAATCAGGTCTCTGATCCCCATGAGGATAAATTGACCAAACCCTGATACAGTACTTGACTAAAACTGTTCTTAGTGCTATAACTTCCTGCTGGACCCTACCTAATAGCAAATGTTTCTTTACAGGCTTCCAAATGTTTCTCATTGTGAGGTAAGTACTTGTTTTTACTTGCTAAGTGTTAGGACTTGAACATAGGCCCATAAGATTTTAACTGCTTGTCAGCTAGGGGGTTAAGAGGGTAAGAGGCCCATTGGCTGTGGCTTGCATCTCAGCCAAAACATGAGGATGTTTAAAGGGGAGCTGCTGGCTGGAGCCCAGCCTTTGACAGACTGGTGTGCACTGAGCTCATCACTGTGAGCTCCTCTTAAATTTGCTCTGATGGCATTACTTAAGTATTTGCCCTCTTACCCATAGCAGCCCAGCCCTATAGCAGGGCTGCGCAGGGGCTGACAGTGTGAGCTGCCTGTGTGATGAGATGTGACTGCCTTGACTTCAATCATGGAGGTCTGTAATTAGCTCTATCTGACTGCAGGCACCTGACTTGGGTTTTCTCCTTCTGTGCTTGTTTCTGTACTGTCCTAATGGTTTGCTTTGATCCAGGTGTGATGGAGCTGGGATGTGATGCACCTGGTAGTGCTGCCAGCAAAGGTAAGTTGCTAATGCGAGTGTGACTGGTCAGAGCTGTGTGATACAGGGAATGAGGAAGTTACTAGATATCCTGCCTGTTAACAGGGCCATTTACAGGGCTGGCTGCAGCATTAAGCAGGGTTCTTTATTTTATAACCTTTTCCAGGTAAAAAGCAGCCTGCAGGATTCACTCCCCCAAGGTGCTGCATATCTCAAACTGCTTTCTGTGACTAAAAAGAAATAGTGGTGACCATTTTAAATATGTAACTGCTATGGACTGCTTGAATTCCTACATGATAAGAAAAGCTCCTTGCTACCAGCTTGTCGGATGTTCTGGGCTGAGCAAATGCAGTACAATTACCTGCTGTTAAATTTCTTGCTGTTAAAATGAAGTGGGCTTTTTCAGGGAGTAGCACTGATCTTGAATCCTTATGTGGTAAATTGTTTACCTCAATGAATGGCTAGATCAGAGTTCTTATGGTGATGGGAATGAAGATGTGGTTGGGAGCAAGGTCAGATCCCCCTTTTAAGGGTTTGTCACAAGAGATACTGCATTGAGCTACTGTTGGCATGTACTGTTTGTGATGAATTCTAAGCAATGGGAATCTCTCTGAAAGAGGCTGAAGAGAACTCTTGTGCTGAAACAGTACCCACATTTCACTCTAAACCCACTCCAAAAGTGTTTTACTAAAATTTCCCTTCTTTACAGGGTGACGCTTGCGTGGAGTTTGAGAAATAAAATGGATGTGTCTGAGGTAAGTGTAGAATACATGGGGTTTAATAATTCCTGGAATATTGGCTTTCTGCTGAATGCCTAAGTAGTGGTGCCCAAAATTAGTCCTATAAGATACCTGATTTCTCTCCCCTTTATTGTATCTGGCTGTTCTGTGGGCACTCCTGTAACACTGCATTCTGGAATTCAAATAAAAACTTGTGCTATGGCTGTCACTTCTCAGCAGTTGTTACTACTTATCTTTATATTGGTTTTACACAAATCTAGCTCTAGAGTTATAGATGATTCTAGATAATTGCTGTACAAACTTGTTTTCAAGAAAACTGGAACACTCCAAACACTTTCAAAAATAGAAGCAATCTTGAAAACTGGGACTTGTATTTTAGGTATTTAAAGTAATGAAATACAACATTGTTGGGTGAGAGTATCACAAAGCAAAGTAATAGCTTTTTACTTTCCCTGATTCTTTCAATGTTAGTAATTCTGTATTTGAGTGAAGTAAGTTGAACTTGTAAGATGCCAGGTAAAGGTCAGTTTCCATTCAGGTAAAAGTTTGGTGAATAGAAATTAATATATAATTGAATTTGGCATACAGTGCTGCTGTCTGTTATTCTGAAAGTACTTCTTCCTTTCTCAGGAAGGGACTGTGCTGTCTGCAGCCTCACTGGGTAAGTCCACACAGCAGATTAATTGTATTAAAAACTTCTGCGTATATTTGTAGCCACTGATGAAATTGATTCTGCCAAATGAGTTACTGTGATATTATCCTTTCCGTTCCATTTCTTTCTGAGGTTACAAAGCTGTTGTGGAGCTTTTAGCAGTTGTGCTGCTGCATATGCTAACTCTGTTTTCTTGTTTCAGGTGAAGAAACAACCCTGAAATTAGCATATGAAGAATTGAGAAGGTGAGTGTAACTGCTGTCGTAATCTATTTGTTGGAACAAGTGATGATAACCTTAGCTTGAACTCTCTCACTGAACAGAGATGAAATTCTAAGGTCTGAGATGTTCCCATCAAGTATGTTGTGCTGGTTTGGTACCTTATAATGGTTTTTATGTCTGTCTTAATAGGTGGAAGATGGCTGATAAATGGGTTACACTTGAATGAACAGCATTAAAAAAGCCATTTGTTTTTACCTCACTTGTAATGTTGGCCTGATGCTGATTGGAGTGAATAAAAATCTGTAAACTTTACCTGGTGTTGTGACCTCCTTTCTGGCTGGAACAACTTGCTGCAAAACACCTCCAGGCTGCTATATTAAAATTTTAAATGCTAAATTTAGAGCAGAGACTGAACTAGGCTAGATGGCTTGTCCTGCAAGTGTCTTAACTGAGGTGTCAAATACTGCTGGTGTGCAGGCTGCAAGTGGCCATATTTTAGACAAAGCTAAATAACTTTAATAGTATTTCAAGTGTTTTAAGGAGAGAGCTAAACTTAATACTTGTATATTTGCTACTGAAGTAATAGTCCAGCAGTCATCCTGCTAATACATGTTCAGGTGCAGATCTCTTAGAACAGGTGTACAGCCTGGACTTGGTAATATTTTCCAAGGATTCTGGATTTAAACAACACGATATTTGATCTTCACAAGGGAAAAGTTGGAGAGGCAGGAGATTTTGATAATACTAATTAACAACAGTTTGAGTCCCTAAGGCCTGCTAAGATTTCTGTTTTCTAATGCTCCTTAATGGAAGCTTGCTTCTTCTGAAAAATTGATTTAAATTCCTTCCTGGTCTCAGGAGTGATGTCAGTATGAGGAAAGGCAGCTTATGAAAGTCAGTTATGAAGAACTCCCTTTCCATAACACTTCAACTAGTGCTATGTACCTAAAATTCAGCAGGATTATTTTCACATGATTAGTGTTGCTTTCAGTAAAAGGAGTAAGTTATGTTTCCTGCCTGCTTCACCTGGTATGATCTTGAATTACATTTTGAAATGTTTTTATCCAGAAAAGTTATTCATCCTAGAGAAAATAAATTTGGACATTGTGTCTACATGCAAGTTAAATCTCTTCTGCACTAAAACACAAGCCAATAATATTGTCTGTTTTCATCCAGAGCTGATTAGTACCCTCTTAACATCCCCCATAGTGTTACTTTTTAAAATACCACACTTCATTATGCCTGTTAAAGAGCTTGAAGGGACTGTCATAGCCTGCAGTGTAAAAGAAATCTTCATGGAATGGTTGGCCTCTGTTTCTTAAGGTTCTGGCCAAGGCTTCAGCTTCCTCAGCATACTTCTCTGGGGAGGCAAATCCACCAAAGGACCTGGTAAAAGTGAGAAAAGATTTTTTTTTTTTGTTCAAGCACCTGGCTTTATTTTCACTTGTGCTGCAGGTTGTAGTCAGTAGATTACCGATGCATGCAAAATTAGCAGTCAAGCAGCCATGGGTATTTATCTGATTGTAAAGATAAGATGTAAAACAAGTAGCACTCAAGTAACAACCGTCCTGTGTGTTCTGTGGCAGTTCAGGACTACAAATAAAGTACTGGGGGAGTGGTTTAGATACTCTGTAACAAACACTGTTTTCAGAAGAGATTCTAGAAGCTGCATCTCTACGTAACTCAATACCATTTTCAAGTGTTTTCTTAAAAAACGTATAACAACCTGCCCACTTCTTTTTGTGCTAAGACACCCAAGCATAAGATTGCCTAAGGGTTGGGTTTTAACAATTAAGGCTCTGAAGAACAGGGTCTATCCACACTTAATCATCTTTTAAGAAAGTGTAGCCCACACTTTATTGAGGGCAGCCACTGAGCTGGATTGCTGTGGTGTCAGCTGTGCTGGTTTTGCTTACCGGACAAAGAGAGCTGCTGCCTTCCGTTCCTCAATGAACACATCGGAGTCAGTGGGCTGGGGAGGGCACTCCTGGTGTTCAAATGGCACAAAGAAAGAGATCTTGAAGTCTGTGCAGCCTGATTTTACCAGGCAGGTCACTGGCACAGTCATATCAATCTTCATTTCTAGAGGAAAGGAAAACCATGTGTCTAAGCTGCACCTCCCAGCTCCTGTATTGTTTGTCAGCTAATTTTAATTCTTTCTGTTCAAAACCAGCATGTCCTACCTTTTTCATTCTTTCCCTGGATGTAGTGGAAGAGTTTCCAGAAGCCCTGGCGCATTGCTTCCTTCTGGGTTTCTCCCCTAATGACTGTGCTGACCCACTTTGCTGTCTCGTACTGACGCAGTTCATAGTCCTTTGCCTGGAAGGTAGCAAAAGTCACAGTAACCATGAGATGAGTGTTGACAGAAATAAGTAGCTACCTTTTCCAAATCATCATACCAGTGTTGTTGCAATTACCTTTGTCTCTGCTGAGCTCCAGCGAGGGGACTGCAGGTCCAGGGACAGAAATGTTTGCTTGAAGGACTTGATCATCTTGCCAGAGCTGGAAGGCAGACACAGTGCATTGGCATCTCTGAAATTAATATGGTACTAGAGCTTTTCAAATGCACTGGACTGGTGGGAGGCCTGAATAAAGGCTGAATGCCATTTAGCCCTGCAGGAACAGAGCACCAGGACCAAGAAACTACCTCTACTGGAGGGAGTGTTCTTTCAGAAAATGCTGCCCTTGCTTCTCTGTGATAAAAAGGTATTTCCTGACAGCAAAGTGAGATCCTGCAAGAGGGAGTTTTGTGGAAATCTGTAAGTATAAAGAACTTCACTTCAGTCTGTTTGCTCCTGGGTGAAAAAGCAGTAGTGGTTTGGTGGTGTTGACTGTGCTCTTAACTTTAGTTGGCCTCTCATGATAGCGGATGGCTTTCTGAAAGGCTTTTAGCCTCAGAGTCCTGTGGATAAATTAGATTTTCTGCATTTCTGAATTAGTAACAATTTTCCTCCATTGCCTTCATATGGGAGGAAAAAAGGTGAAAATTTAAAAACACTGTCCCAAACAAAGCAAGTGAAAATATTCAAAACCAGTGTTGAAATTGTCAGATCTGGCTAAACGCTGAGATTTTAGTGGCCTCCATATAAAACTTCGTTAACCAGGCAGACTGTAGTGTGTGACATACAGTCTGATAGTCTGCCATGTTACATGACAATGTCCTTCACCTGTCATGTTGCAAAGAGCACATAATTGAGTGATTATCTGGATTCCTAAGTCATAGAATGTTGTCTTAGACTATAATTTAATTACCTGTTTCAGTAATTAACTGTGTGAGTTTTGTAAAATCAACTGCCTTGTGCTATTTAACTACTTTGCTGGTTCTACATCTTTTTACAGTACCTGGACTACTGGTAGATTCTATTAATCCCCTTCTGTACCCTGCCTAGAGGAGGTTAGGAGCAAAGAGTTCTTGGGATGTGAGGTTGAAAAGTTTTTATTAAAACACTGTAAAAAAATGGCCACAAACCCTGGTGGTACTGGGTTCCTTTAGAGTCTGTAAAATAAGTAGTGTGTGGAGCCACTTCAATGTTGAACTTTTTCCAGCGGTTCCTTCAGTTGTCACCACAGATCAAGGGAAGGTCAGAATCAAACAGCTGGATAGGGCTGCTAGTCATGCTGTTCCCTTCCCTGTCCCAGCCTAAAGGTGCATCATCTCCAGCAGACCTGACCAGAACGATCACCAGGGACTGCTGCACAGTTGTACTCTATTCATAGACTTCATCCATGGTATTTACAAATCAACAAAGCATCATAAAGTAGGAATCCATATAATTAGAAGCAAATATGAGCAATTACATTGAATCTTCATACAACAATTTATTGCCATTTGAAAGACAAGGCTACTGCTGCTCAACACTTGTATTAACTACTGAACAAGCTGGTTTCTCTTTACTGGCTATTTCCAGCTGCTTCCCAACATACCTTTCTGTAACTACTGGGTAGACCTCACAACTCTGGATTTTGTAACTTTATGGTCAGTACTGTCTGTGACTGCATGTTAGAAATATTGTTTTAAATTGCGTAAAACAATGCTGTGGGATGGGAGAGACAGAAGATTCTCCAGATACAGCTGAACTTTTTTAGATGTACAGGAAAGCTGAACTTTGAAATGTCCATCTATTGATATAAATATGTCTATAGGGTGTTTAGTTTTTTTCGTGCAGCTGTTAACACATGGGGCAAAGGGACAGGCAGCAGGTTACACTGCTAGCACAAGTAAGTGCAGTCAGAACATGCCACTCCACAAACTACTAGTGCAGTTAAGGAAGTGGAGAAGGTAGACATACTTACAGTTTCGGTCCTTGTCCTTCCAGCTGTTGCAGTGTGTCCTGTGGAGGCTGCACATCCCCATAAGATGCTGCATGTCAGTGTTTATTTGAGTTTGGGCAAGCTCCTCCCATGCCTCAACGCTACTGGAGGGGGCTCCTGTTATGAAAACCAGAAGGCTGGAGCCTTGTCCTGCTCTGGGTCTCATTGGAGAGCCCCCACGCAAATGCCAAAGGCCCCACCTACTATCCACAAGGCAACACTGGGACTAGTGTGTGATCTGGCTCCATCAACAGTTTTGTACCCTTGTGTAATTTCCCCTGTTTGCCATGGCTGTGTGCCCACTTATGACAGGGTCAGTGGCAGGTTTTGTGCTTTGGGAGAAAGGATTTCACATATAAATAATGTCTCCCCCCCCACCTGACTTGGATTATGTGAGAGTGGTGCTATACAGAATGCCAGCTTTTCCTTTTTACCACAGGGGTGAAGGGTAGGTAGAAATCTGGCTGCACACTCTGCTGAGACCATCCTCACGAGATTTTTGCTGGCATGTTATGAAAGACAGACAGTGTTCTCTGATGGCTGGCTGTTCTGAGCGGTATTTGAGGTTAATCAGCCCTCTTAGCCCTTGGATATCTGCACAAAGGGGTTATACAAAGCCATTGTGAAATCCTGTCCTGCTTATAATACACACAGCAAAGCTGGGCTCTTCATTTAGCCAGCTGCAGCTCCAGACATAGTTTGGTACCAGCACAATAGGGCAGATTAAACTGCACAGTTTGTATTCTGAGAACACCTCTCAGTTTGTCATGGTTTGTGCAAATTCCTTGCAGCCAAATTCAGCTGAACTCTCGGGGACATTTTACATCAATAGCTGGGAATGACTTTTAACAGGAAACTCACTTAGCTTGCTGAGAACTTCATCAAGATGCTGTGTGATACACTCCTGTTCTGAAAAGGGAAGTAAAACTATGCCAAAAAGCAATTGTGAATTGATCTCTAAAGCCACAAATCTCTCCAAAGCCACAGACGAGGGTGGTG